GATGCTGGATGACCTTGGGGACAGAAGAGGATACTCTCATTTGAAGCAGAAAGCTCTAGATCGCATTAAGTGGAGGAATTGTTTTGGAAGAGACTGTGGACCTGTCGTCTTGACAGATTACTGATGATGATGATGATATATAAGGCCTCTGTCAGTTCAGGCTCAGCACATTAGATCACGCCCTGTCGTTAGTGGATTAGGTAGGCGGCTTGAAAGGAGGGCCATCACTCAGAGCTAGAGGGGGGAGTGGAGCTCGGTCCGAGCCAATAGGAACGGTGAATATGGAAGCGGCCCATTTTAGGGCCACATTACTTGTTTCAGTCACTGGACGGAAATGGAATTCTGAAGAAAGACAGCCAAAAGCAACATTTTGGGATTTAATATGACCAAATTTGATACAGTTCTATTTCGCTTCTGTGACCTAAAACAGTAAGCCTGTTGTGGTCTTGAAAGGAGCGTGTTATTTACAACCAGCATAACCAAACTGAATCCTCACCTTACGCATTTCAACCCTGAAGATGAAGGTATATTCTTGCTCCGAAATGTCAATAAACGCCTACAAATCTACAAAATTTTACAACAGAGAAGACCATAATTTGTAAAATTGCCAGCACAAAAAGCTGAGAGCGTATCAGTATTTTCAATCTTTGACAGTTTTCTTTCACAGGTTTTACATAGTTATATTATATACCCTTAATAACTATGTACATAAGCTCTTTTGATGATTAATTATATGTATATGACATCATTTTCCTTTACTAAATATGTTTTGCTCTCTAATTTATAGAGATATAGGACTGCCTTAGGATGAACATGGTGTGTTCATAACCTGCCATAACTTATTTATAGAGTATTTCGTAAGTCACTTAAACTAACAGACGTCCAGCTCATAATAAGATATCCTCAAAAGCATACTTAACTATCTGTAACATAGAAACAACTTATTTGGATGCAACTTAAAGTAATGGGCAAAATATATGACAGGTCAACTTAACGTGATATGCGGAGAACATTATGTTGTTGGTTTGTCCCTGGGAAAATGGGAACCACTAACCTGATCAAAATCGAACAGAAATTACAGACAAAAAGTAATAGTCTATCAGAATTCCTTTACATCTGATACATTCTACTATCACAACATCATATTGACAACACACAACTCTTCACCAGTCTAAGAGAGACATATACCATTGCTTTTGCTTCTTGGACAATATTCTAGAGGCCATATATGGTCCTAATTAGGCCTAATCCATACACAAAATCTTTATTTTTGCAAAATACTTATTCCATACAATGTGACAAACAACAAATATACCATCAGGTTTAGGCAAATGATTATTTCCTGTTGTGAATCCATTGAAAGCCCAACAACTATCACATCGTGTTACGGTCAACATATACTGACGACAAGAATTTGTTACACAACATAATTATAACATAGAACACAATTTCTGTGTAGTTCGCGGGGTTCAGTACACGTGATGTGCTTATTATGTAATTATTAGAAGAGAAGCCCGCCATTGGTGGCTTCCTTTACAGTTCACGGGTGCAATATAATTTAGGTCTTACCCGGTTTTTTGTGCAGATACACATATCCATGATGTAGACGCCTTTCATTTTATTATTTATTTATTTTTTTTTTTGCAATCTACATTAATCTTCATCCACCCTATAGTTGTCTTAAAGCAAGTTATTTTTCTATTGTATATTTTATATCTTGCAATATTACATGCACAACTTCCCTTAACTTGCAGTCTTTGATAATTTAAGGCATCTGTGTAGTATATAATATTTTTCTTTTTAAGTAACAGATTTATATTTATGATTTAAGCGAGCCTAAACAGAAACGACAATTGAAAATGAAGCACACAGAGTTAACGTTTAAACTGACACATACTTCGGACACTTTCCAACTTCACATTTCTTTTTAACCCTATGAGCCCCACTATCAGACGAATTCGGCTCGGCATGCTTGCGTTAAAACTATCGGGACCAAAGAGATCGGCTCAATATTGATCACATAGTAGAGTATTTTTGTCAACAGATGGCGTTATGTGTTATACAAAATGGCATTTGTAGAAAATAACGGGCTTTCTTGCTGTCTATGTCTGTGGTAGTTCGATGGTAATCTACGACAGTGTTGTGAATTGTTATATATAATGGCATTTAACCCAAACAACCTTCGCATTTCCAGCACGTAGCTCTGTAGTGAGTTTCAACAGTCAAAGATTTAAAGAAATTTAGTGTTTTGGAAGCTTCGTTTTCTGCCATTATTTAAGTAAAGTATTAAACCTACTGTTGCGGGTCCATTGTTTTGAAATAATAGTTAGTTTCATATTGTTACGTGGTGGCTGTGAACAGACCAGCTTCAGAGCACCTCTCAAACCAAAACGAGACGATGGAAAATGTCTCAAATTTGCATCAGTCTAAAAACACACATTTGTTCAACATCTTTAAACCTCTTAACATTAGTTTCCTTTAATGTAAATGATTTTGCCTGGAAATCATATTACTCTTCAATTACCAGAATTTACGTAATAATCTCATATTTGTACCAGAGAAAATACATAGGGACTCTCATTCACAATATTACTTCAGAAATACTACGACGTATTCCTCAGGTGTTCTTATCAGTGACTGTTCTTCTTTACTTGAGATTTCAGTTTGATGCGTTTGTATCGTAAATATACGTATGTACCGAAGAATGAATGGTGTAAATTCAGATTAGAAATACAATTAAAAGAGAGCTGGGAATAAACTTTTACGACAACATTGTACACTTATCTTCATTACAAATTTATAAAATCATTTATGTACTTTTGGAAAGTTACTTTGATAAGATAACATTATATAGTAAAGTCTTACACAACCATTGGAAACGGAGCCTCAGTGAGTTTTCCGTTTTACAAAGATGTTGCAAAGAAATTTAAATGCGAATTTAGAACATCTTGATGCCACCCTGAAATATCCGCTTCATGGAGTGCTCCTACACAAAGGTCTAGTCTCTCAATCACATTAAATATACGAATACTTTCTGAACACATCACAACGGACCTAAGAACATCTCAACGTAGAAACGTATTATTACTATATATCTCATTTCACTGATCTTATATTTTTATAACATTTAGTACAAAAAGCACAAAGTACAAAACGACATCCTCCAGCAGAACATTAATAAAGTTTCTGTTTACATTGATTGTAAATAATCTAGATGTGTGTTGAACTATAAGTTCGGGAACCATTCACGGTTTCATTTTCAGTTCAGTTTAAAACTAACTGTGTTCCTTTTACGTCAGAGAAGTTACAATTGTGCCATTAATCCTTGTGGGGCAGTAGAGTCATGCGTGGTACACATTAATGTATTTTCGTTAAGCTTCGCTGGTAGTGGTTTCAAGTTTACGAAATTTTCACAGTATTCAAGTATCTTTACACTACAAACAAGTCACTTTCTTTTGTGCACGAATTTTATGAATATAAAAAATATTTCAACCTTTATGGGAACTTCCTTCGTAGATACATATGTTTTCATTTTAAACAGGGCCCCAGCATATCCAAGGATACTAAAATGTCCCTAAGTTTGCTTTTCTGGGAGTGCTACCGATGATATGAACCCCACATGTTTCATAGAGAACTAGAGAACTGTGATATTAAATTACGCGGGGGAAAGTAAACAGCTGAACATCAGTTTGTACAGAATTGCTGCTTGTATATGGGATGAGTTCTTTACAGACGTCATCTCCCACGTCTGGAAGCTGACGTCAGACAGGCGTCTCGAACTTTACCTCTCGGCCACCTGATCGTCGAATAGATCTGGATCTAGTGTTTATCGGGGCCGGTGGCGGCGCTAGAACTGGTACTACGACGGGTACTAGCGCTATAGGCGGTGAGGCTGTGAACTGCTGCGCGGCAGAGGTAGTTGCGGCCGTGACCACTGTCGCCACTGCAGCGGCCGCGGTGGTGGTGATAACGGCGTGAGGGTAGGTGGAAAATGGAGAATTTGCGGGGAAGTGGTTGGCTACCACTGGGACCCAGCACTGTTGCTGCTGAAGTCTTGAGGGTGATGTAGATCCTAGGGATAGAAACACTGACCCATTTACAGGTGTTTATACAGATATCGTCGTGTCCGCTAGAAGTATAGTTTCGTTTTGCTTATGAATGTGTTTGTACTACTGGCTTCGTAAAGCTAAAAAAGATCATAGAAGCAGATGAAAAAGGTGGTCCGTGTGCCTCCTTCGGCCCGCGACCACTTAATTGGACTGAAATAAGACACATGCAAAGTGCAAAGCACAGTCTCCTGGGTTTTGAGGATACGCAGTTCCGAAACATCCTGGCGTTTCGGAGGAACATATCACCTCCATCTTGAGGGTCGAGAACAAGCCAAACATGAAACTAGCAGAAGCAAGGAAGATTCCCGCCTGCTTCTACTGGTTTCTTGCTGGGTTTATTCAACTACTTTGAAGACGGAGGCGATATGTTCCTCCGAAACATCGGGCTCCCACCGAACTATGCAACCTTAAAAAGCAGACGGCTGTACTCTTCGTTTTTTTTTTTAATTCGCTTAGTGGGGGGTGGAGTCCAACTGGGTCCACTCGGTACGGCGGCCACTGATTGGCCTATTGTACCTGCCCCGGGTGATTATGATGATGGAGAATTTGGCGGAATGAAGATTGGCAAGGGAAACCGAAGTACTCGGAGGAAACCCGCCTCAGCGCCACTTTGTCCACCACAAATCCCACTTTACCAGACCCGGGATTGAACCCGGGCCGCCGCGGTGGGAAGCCAGCGGCTAACCACTTGAGCTATGGCGCGGCCATCTGTACTCTTCTTAGTCAATGCTCTAAATGATAAAAGTGGTAAAAACTGTCTCCATGCTTAATTAATTAAGCACTGTGCCAGGAAGACATGTGGGAAATATGGGATATGAGATCGGCACCAGTGGAGGTGAGTGATCAGCTTCACGCCCCAGCCGCTTTACTCCCCGGAGAAAGAGCTCGCGGAACCCATGTGATACGAGGCTGGGTGGACCTCAGAGTCGCTCTGGACGTTGAGCAGAAGAGAAAAAGCTTTCTCTGCCGGGATTCGAACCCCTGCCGTCAAGCTCGCAATGTCTTTAAACAATACATGGAAAAGAAAACGTCTGTGAGCTTACTGTCGGAATATGTTGCGGAGGTTCTACGCTGTTGCTGCGCCCGCCAAGCGAGGGACCGGACGTGACCTCTGGTCCCCGTGTGGACCGCATCCACGCTTAAACTGCGGTTCATCGCACGCCAATGGTCCGGCTGACGCCCCAGGGCATTACTTGCTGCATCGCTGTTCGCCACTGCCCCCAGGTGTTCATTCAGCGAGTAGAGCTTGTGGGTGATGTCCTTACCTACAGAAAGACACAACATGAGCGTGTATACGTGCAAAGTGGAGGCCAGAACTGCCATTGCAATGGAAAGATGTAACACATTGTTTATCAAGAATTGCATTGCGCTCCATCTTCGAGGTCAAAGTGCAAGATTCTGCTTGTTGCTTGCCTAATTGTTCGGCTTCCGGCCTAGAAAACCGAGATTAACGGCCGTGGGAATCCGTTGCGCTGACCGCTCTACACCCTCTATCCGCTAAAGTTGGCACTAACTTCGCCGACAAGTGGCGGTTGCTCGGTCGGTATAGTTCGCTTGCGGACTAAAAGCCACGGAGTAATTGTTCGGCTTACTCCTCGACCCTGATGATGGAAGAAGTAGGTAACTTTCTACCAGACTGAATGTTGTCACATCCCAACAGATACTGTTCTGCGGCTATGACGCCGTGGACATAGGCTCTCAGAGCTCGCTCTTGTAATACAGTACGCTAAGATTCATACATCAGAAAATCAGGTACAGACTCACGATTGAACAGATTTTGTGTTACTTTGTTATTCTTAGGTTGGGTTGAGACCGAACCCCTTAGTACTTAGGCCATAATTTCTTCGTGTGGGTGAGACTACGTCGGCCTATCATATAAGCCCCGTATGATAGATATGTATACAGCGTTTGGTGGAATGAGAATTGGCAGGGGAACCGAAGTACTCGGAGGTAACCTGCCTCAGTGCCACTTTGTCCACCACAAATCCCACATGACTCGACCAGAGATTCAACCCGGGCTGCGGTGGTTTTATTACTTTAGTACAATTTTATTCTTAAGAAAATCCCTGGCGAACGTAATCGCTTTCGCTAACTGCTATTCATTTTGGGCACGAAACTGTATTTGCGAAATACATTCATTATTCTAGGAGCCGGGACAGCTCAGTTGATACAGCAATAGGCTGCGGGCTGGGTGGCCGGTGTTCGGTTCGCGGCAGGGGCAAGAGGTTTTCTCTTCTTAGCAGCGTCCAGACTGTCTCTGGGGGCCATTCAGCCTCCTCTCCGATGGGTACCGGTGTTAAAGCAGCCGAGGCGTGAAGCTAATAACTCACTTCCATCTAGTGCCGCTGTCAAAATTTATATAACTGTTCCTCCACCTCCCCATACGTCTTCATGGAATGGTGCTTAATTAAGCACAGGGACAAGTTGACCTTAAATCCGTTATTCTGAATATCTCGCTCCTCACTTAGCAGGCTGAGGCACCTGTCCGCCTAGTATCACGTTACGCTGTGTGAGTTAGTTCTCGAAATCGCCACGACCTCGCTTCAGTTGATAACTGCAGATAGAATGATTCTTCTCTTTCTGACACCCCATGAAGCTATGTTGTTAGCCTCTTCCAGACGTCAGTTCGTGTCATGTGATTAGTCACGGGAGCGTAATACGGGCTAACAGAGCACTTTATCAGTAAGAGAAAGTTCAGTAGAATGTATTATGAATGCATATGTAGTTACCTGAAAGGGAATTCACACACCGAGTTTGTCTTACTTTAATATCGTATTCGATTTTAGGAAGGCTGTGGGTAATGTATCCTTGCCAATATTTAAACCTGTCGACAGTACAGCTAGCACATCACAGGTTGGTATAGTGGTAACGTTCTAGAGTTATATTCGGGAGGTACTCGGTTCGAATCGAGGACATTATACCAACCGTCTTAACCAAGATTTTGTGGGATTTTTCCAATTCTCATAAGGCGGCAGATATCGGAGTTGTATCTCAGGGCAGGAACAGATGCCTTCAGAATACTTTTAAATTCATTATTCACCGGTTATTCAATTATCCGGTGCTGTAGAGACACAGGCATTGACAGAATCGTAAAATAAGCCACAGAGGTCACTCTGTTACTCTTCTTATATTGTACTTTAAACTTGGACGAGCTACAACTGTCTGACACGCTGGTAACTTGCGTAGTACGCTGCCGTGTTTAACTCCTAGTCTGATACATACTACCCTGGAGGAGTTGTTAGGTTATTTTTTGAAAATATACATTTGAATCGCCAAAAAGTAGAGAGAACATATCATTAAAACAAGTTTTACTAGATAGATAGGGGCTCACGATTTTGGCCAATGGTGGGCTTTCTTATTAGCGACATTGAACTTACGGTTCCTTCTTCTACAATGTTTGTTATGCAGTTGTAGGATCACACTCGCTGTACATTCCACCAGCAATATCTACAGCATTGTGACAAGATCGATTCGAATTTGTTTATACTTAGTTCGCAATGCACTCGCTGTCGTTAGCTGTCACTGCGCTCTCAATATGGCCAGTGTCGTGACGCGGGATCACTTACCTTGCCACGAGACAATTTTAGACGTGTGAATTATACGCTGTGTTTGTGTGCTTAAAGTGATTGTGGTTTAATCAGTGAATGAGTTAGCGTTCAAAAACCTTGTCGTACTTTGCGCCATGAATGGGGAAATTTTCATCACATGAGGTAAGCCATTAAACTGTTGCTACAAATACTCGCAGCTAGAGAGCCCTGCAGCAATGTCTGTATGCATCCATTCCTCTAGCTGGGGTACATTCAAATACGTGGGACTCAAATGGTAAAAGTAACAAGTAAATTTGACCCTGTGCTTAACTAATTAAGAACTACGCCATGATATAAATGGGGGAGTGGGTGTATAGAACCATGTTTTCTTGACCTCGGCACTGAGTTTGCGAGTGATCAGTTTCACACTCCGGCCTCCTTGCCCCCGGGAAAAGAGCCCCCTGAGACTGGAGTGGACCCCAGAGATGGTCTGAACGATGTGAAGAAAGGAAAATTCTTGACCCTCCCGGGAATCGAACTGTCATCCCTCGATTGCCTAGTCCGTGGTCCAGTGCAATAATTAGAATGATATATATTCTTTTTATTCATATCCTCTTCAGTCTCCTTTAATTCTTCATTTACTCTCCCACTTTTCTTCCATTCCTTGTTTTCTGCTTTCTGCCTTTCTTTTATTTTCTTTCGCGTTTACTTTATTGTTTCCATTGTTCCCTAATTTTGTATATTCATTTGTCTCAGTTTTCTTTTCTGACCCTAATTCCTCGATTTCCTGCACACCTGAAGCTTCCTCCCCTTCCCCTTTATGGGGGAACAGAGAAAGTGAACGACAAACGCTCTGTCTCTGTAAAAAGCTGAACAAGTAACAGGCCGTTAAGGCCCATAGGGTTGTGAGACGTCGAGGCTTCCACATTTTCTCTAAACATTCGGCTCACAGATGGCGGTGAGGTTGTCAGCCTTACGCGCCGGCCGCCCTTTATGCCCCAGGAAGATTCCTGGTACTCATTTCTGTTAGAGGCTGAGTCGACCCCAAGGCCATAGTGCGTCTGGAAGGCAGAGGCTTGTAGCATGCTTAATTAATGCGTCATAGCATAAATTTTCTCTCTCTCTCACTCTCTCCTTTACTGACAATCAGACTGTACAGTCAATGTGCTGACTGGTGTACAATTTAATAACTACTATAAAAAATACATAGTTGTCAGATGCATACCTTTACTTCGTTGATCTGTACGAATTGTGTCGTTAGAGTCGCTGCTTTCCAATAGACTAATTCGCTTTTCGAGACCCGATGACGTCATACGATATTTTCAATTGACCTAATCTTTCCAGCCGCACTATTACCCTGGAGTCGCTTCAGCCTCTAACAGAAAGGAGTACCAGGAATCTTCCTGTGTGTTAAAGGGCTGTCAGCACGTATTGCTGACAACCTCAGCGCCATCTGTGAGCCGATTGTCTAGAAAATGTGGAAGCGTCGACTTCTCATAACCCTATGGGCTTCCACGGCCTGTTACAGGGATAACTTAACATTTTCTTACCTTGGATAGACTTGAAAGGATTCTGACGATGGTGTACGAGTATACTGTACTTCTTTTGGCTTATTTTGGACTTATCCATCGTCTGGTCTTTTGTCTTCTACATACCAGACGATGGATGAAGTCCAAACTAAGCCAAAAGAACTACATTTTCTTACCTTACCCATCCAAAATGGGGGCACGCGGTAGTGTAGTTGGTTGAGACACTATGCTACAAGCCGGAAGGTCACGGGTTCAAGTCCCGATGAGGTCATTGGATTGTTTTCAATTGATCTAATCCTTCCAGCCGCACTATGGCCCTGAGATCTACTCAGCTTCTAACAGAAATGAGTACCAGGAATATTCTTGGGGGTAAAGGGAGGTCGGCGCGTAGGGCTGACAACCTTGCCGCCATCTATGAGCCGATTGTCTAGAAAATGTGGGAACCTCAACATCTCACAACCCTATGGCCTTCACGGCCTGTTACGGTGGTACCTTTACTTACTTTCTTACTTTTATCCATCCAAAAGTCATTAATCTGCGCCGTTGCCGCAACAAGAACCCAAAATCTCACGCAGGGGAAAGATTATGAAGACGGGAGCGTTGACTAAATTGGATCAGGATCGTATCAAGTGGTTGGATTCAGACTAAGAGATGCTGCACCATGTGTTTCCGCTGTCAGAGCCACAGATTAAGGAGAGTGCAGAAGCGAATCGCTCAGAGTCAGCCCACGCGACACTAAACTGCTGCGGCCATGAATTTGAACAGTATATTTCGATTATTGTCTCCGTATCTACTCTCTGAGCGTAAAGTAAACTTCACTGTACTGCCCCACATCATGCCTGACTCACTGGAAATCTGTTTCGCTTCTGGCCTATCCCCATTCTGCAGCACCGTATCAGTCCTCACCATCTCACCATCTCACCTATAATGTTGGAGAGCACCACTTTGAGTAATGGCCGATGTCTGAGCACCCGCTCCAGTTTGAGGCGTGGCCAGCACATGTAGAGGCATTCCTGTTCTGCCGTTATTGTCACCTGCAACATAAACGTAACCTTCATTGTCTTTTGCGGGTCAGTCCCCGGTAACTTCATACGGTATTCGTGGCGGACGAAAAGTCATCGGATCAAATTATGCCAAAGCCGCTTTTTTCAACATTCTTTCCAGGATGTCAGTTACTAACCGCCGTATCGTTCGATGCTATATTGTCTAACCGTGTTGTTAAATCCCTCTTCATAACGTCCGTTTCACGTCAGTCTCGTCTAGTTGAAGGGAACGTCGCTAGAGGTCCCACTTGACGGTTGCAAGTACGCTGATCGCAGAGACTCATAACAGATGGCGTACATGTCTTGTTCTTAATATAAACACAGCTTTATATGAAATAGATATGTAAGAGAAGTAAAAGAAGTAATTGCACTGATTATTAACAGTAGTCTCTCACATTTAAGGTAAGATCTATATTAAGAATCGAGGTGTTACCGCTATTATAGAGCAAGATATTTATAAGAATGTGCTACAGAAGGCCGGATGGGCATTGCCTAGTCCTTTTTTATTATTTACAACAATTTTTCCCCATAATAAAAAATAAACCAGCTCTCTTCAAAATCTTTTAAGCTCATAGCATGAATATTCAGTGATATCGTGAATTTTAAGTGTCCCTCAAAAATTAGAATTTATAACAATGAAAAACAGTGAACCAAGTAAAGTTGGACAAAATGAGATGTTGGCAATCTCAACGATTTCCAGTTGAAGTTTCAACGGTCTTTATCTTGTAAGCCATGAAAAGAAGTCTTCCTACAAAAATGTCGAAAGAACATTTCATACCTGAAAGACGTCATCGCTGTTGTCATGGTTCGCTTCCCACTCCGGAGAGTCGATGAACTGATGCGGCTGGACGTAATGGAGATGCATGTCGTCACACGTGACCCTCAATCTGGGAAACCAAACCACAGACAAATAAGTGTCATGCACTTCATCTGTTTCTACTCTTATGCTACCAACACGCGTGCCTGTGGCACCAAGTGGCGCCTCCATCGGTGCTTCCGCGAACAAATTGCAACTGACGCGGACAGTATGTTACATTCCTTTCTGTAACATAGGGAGTTTCATAGAATCCACAACTTGTTACTGCTGTAATTTACAAGAATATCAAATATCAAGGGCCAATACATGTGCGTATGGCGCCAAGTGGCACCTCCGTCGGTACTTCCGCGAACAATTTGCAACTGACGCGGACAGTATGTTACATTCCTTTCTGTAACATGGGGAGTTTCACAGAATCCACAACTTGTTATTGCTGTTTTACCAAAAATTAGTCATTAATATCTTCTCCGCAAAGTGTCTTTTAATTCCCTTAAGTGATCTGAGAAATATTTTCTAATGTCTTATTATATTGTTTCCGAGATTTCTGAAAAATAATATGGAATGTTAAGCATATTTAATTCCTTAATCGCTAGCAAAGCGGTGGAACAAGTGTATCTGTGTTGGTGGAGGATATGTCGTGAAATAAATGATTTCTCCGGGATCGAAAATAACATGTTTTAGGTTTTATATCTATTTGTGACTAATTTACTGCTCCCTCGTATATCATTGTGGCTGACATGCTCGAAATTTTAAGAAGCCCTGGTCTAGGTACAAAAAGCGTAGAAAAACAAGCCACAACCCCTCTACTTAGCATAAAGAAATTATGTATGGAGAGCCTTCACTCACTTTCCTTTCAAGAGCACGGACAACCTCTCATCTGCCGGAGTGACCTCCTCCACTGCGTACGTTTCCCCGGGTTCCAGATGCATCAACTGCCCCTCGCGAGTTAGTTCCTTGAAGTGCTTTTTGCTGACGCGCAGGGGCTTGAACAGCTTCAGGTATAGTTCAGTGAGCTCCAGGGATAGAGGCGGAGGCAGGAAGCGACAGGCTAGCAAGGCGGTGTGCACTGCGTTCAGGAAAACTAAACCGACGCTCCAGGCGAACGCGTCCGGTGCACAGACGTGGATACCGGCCCAGAGCGCCGACAGGAAAAACCCGACGCACAGAAACGCTCTGAAAACAAAATAAAATAGTAAGAAATTGTGCACCTATCTTGTTGACCCTTATGCAATTAAATATTGTAGCGTGTACAGACGTTGCTATGCAACGATAGCGAGATAGACGAATTAACAACTGCCGTTTCTGGGCAACAGCTCGGTAAACACGTTCCCGCTGCAACGGACACAAACAAAAACGATAGAAGAAATGTGTTTTCTATGTTGTCAGTGCCGAGATATTTATGACCAGGACAGAACAATGAGTTCAGTTGGGTTTTGTAAAGGAGGCTGAAGAGAGATGGCGCTGTAGTTGAGTCGAGTTCAGTTGAAAGTTCAGTTGTGGAGTGTTAGCCAGAGAGCAACGGCGTGACCACAGAAACTGAAGAATCTCCATCGATAAGATCCGTTGCTGGCTTCCCACCGCGGCGGCCCGAGTTCGATACTGGGTCTGATCAATTGTGATTTGTGGTGGATAAAGTGGCGCTGGTGCAGGTTTTCTCCGAGTACTTCGGTTTCCCCTGCCAATCTTCATTCCACCAATTGCTCAACAATCACCCTCACTTATCATCTGGGGCTGGTACAATAGGCCAGAAGTGGCTGCAGTACAAGGAACTTAGTCCCACCCCACTAGCAATAAAAAAAGATCCGTTGCCAGGAAACGACTAGTGAAATCAGACTGAGAAGAATTTGTAAATTGTGAATATCAGTGATAGCGCTGTAATTGGTTGTAGTTCCGAGTCTTGTGTATAAAGGCGCGTCCACATTACTCGTGCTCGTGCTCGTGCTCGTGCTCGTGTGACTCGCTAATGTGGACGATATGACAAGTCACGAGACAAGCTAATTTTAAATTTTTAATTTAAAAACTATAGCCAGTAAATTAAAATACGACTACAGCCCATACACACTACGAGTAAATATACGGATCCTCACGCGCCGAAGCCTGGCGAGCAACTGAAGTAGTGTGGACGAAGATTTACGAGCACAAGTAAAAGCCAGACGAGTCTCCCGACGAGCACAAGCCTGGCGAGCACGAGCACGAGTAATGTGGACGCGCCTTAAGTGATCCATAAATCCATTCACCAGTCCAAAACCCCGTCAATATTCACACATACACGTGACAGTATAGATGCCACGGTAAAGCTAAATAACCGGTAATTATATAGATTCACCAAGAAGAGTGGTACATGTTATAAATCTCGTAACCATTTTTAACGGTAATTATGAATAATAATTATTATTCATAATTACCGTTTATAATTACCGTTTACCGATTATAATCGGTAAACATGATTACCGTAGTGAGTATTATCACATTTACCACTGTTTTTTGTAATTCCACATAATTATCGGTTATTATTAATTGCCGACTTATTCATATTTACCGTTAACATGGACACAGAATAATTACGAATCGTGTAGTTCATGAAGGTTATTGGCTTATGAAATGTGACACCATTTGGCCCGGAAGAAAATCACAGACGTTTTGCAGGATCTGACTCCGAAACGCTCGTATACGCCTACCAGACTATACGGTGTCACATAATGGAATGTAATTTTCACATTCTCCGCCCTGAAACACTCAGACATCAGAAGTAACTCTTCAAGCTGCAATTAGTGAGTGCTGTACTGTCGCTTCCAAGCATCTAATAGTCATACCGTCATTCATTGGTTACTTAACGACGCCCTCTACGCGGGTTCAAACCCGGCGGAGGTCGTGGAATTTTTAAGGGCGGAAAAATTCAGGGAACAAGTCCTCCGGGAGGGACTTTAAGCCGTGGGTCCCGCGTCGTAGCTTTACGGCACGTAAAAGAACCTCATGCTCCAAGGAGGCCTCTGAGCGAAATTATAAAGGACATTTCCCACCCAACAATAGTCTCTAACGCCTCTGGTAGACGGGGGAAGCATCTAGATACCGCTGAGCCAGTAGAGGCCAAACTCGCTGGCTGAGTCGGGACTGATGGCACGCACCAGTATCGGTAGGGTATAGAGAATGGTAGAATATCACAGGGGGACGTACAATAGACCACTGGTCGCGGTGCATGGGGAAACCCACCCCGTCCAATAATAATAATAATAATAATAATAATAATAATAATAATAATAACAATAACGACGACATCAGTAGCTCAGTAGATCAAAATATATAGTGTCGAATGGTAGGATAATTGGTGAATAATGAATTAGAAGGGATTTGGAAGGAAGTAAGCGGTAAGGGTGGAATTTGCGGTAGTATTCCGGTATTACCCCTGGAGGGCTGAAGAGAGGCACCCAAACCTCAGTCAGTGAGGCTGTGTCCTTGCCAGAATTTGAATCGGGCTTCCCCAAAATACTGTACAGTATCTGTATCGATTTCTATACTACATCAGAAGACAAGCGAAGTGCCTGACAAGTTAAGGCAGACTGTGTGATACACAGCTCCACGAAAACGGGGTAAATCTCCACCCATTCCTCTTCCTAGTGGTGTATGGAGGCGAGTAGCCAGCTTCTTGCTACAGCCGCTTAAGCCTCAGGGAAACACNCTTGATTGTACGCACTGTATGTTTCTCACTCTTCAGTTACTCAGGAAGATTTCAGACAATGTATTACGTCTGACTTTATCTCACGGAGTTATATAGATATGGAAGCAACGCATCGCAGTACGTTATTTCTTGCATATACGGGCGTAATAATGTCAGGAAGAGACATGTGTAAAGCCAGGGTAACTGATACCAGGCACTAGCGTCATAAAAATGCAGAACTATCCCTGTACCAGGCTGCGGAGACCCACATGGTCAGACGTCGAGGCTCCCACATTTTCTAGACAATTGGTTCACAGAGGTTGGTGAAGTTGTCAGCCTTATGCGCCGTCCGATATTTACCCACAGGAAGATTCCTGGTACTCATTTCTGTTAGAACCCAGGGTCTTAGTGCGCCTGGAAGGATTAGGTCACTTGAAAAATCCAATGACCTCATCGGGAATCGAACCCGCAACCTTCAGGCTTGTAGCATAGTGCCTCAGCCAACTACGCTATGGCGCGCCCCCTCATTAGTGTCCTTTGGCTTGAATTAATAGTTGATGAATTATAAATTACGGGGCATTGACTACATTTCACTACATTTGATCCAGACTTTGGGCAGAACATTACCCTCTGAGATCCATATACCCAGAGGTCCAACACAAAGGGGTTTATTTCGTGTTTTGTATACCACAAGGTGGAAGTGGAACACATTTACGAAATGCAACGGTCTTAATAAACTCCGACGATAGACCAAGTAAAAAATATTAGTTATAAACAATACGATTTGTGACTTCTGTCCGAAATGTATTGTTGTTACTAAGAACTCACATTCTAATCGCATCGAAGGAAATAATGTGTTGGTAACTCTATTTTGGAGGTGCTCGGTTCAAATCTCAACAAGGATTTATCCCGGCAGAAGTTTTTCGTGATTCTCCTCAGTATCTCAATGAAAATTCATGGGTAATATTTTGAATAGACTACGGCCTCTTACGAGGGAAAGTCAGTAAATAAGTCACAAATGGATATAAAACGTAAAACATGTGATATTCTAAACTGGGAAAAATAAACACTTTTTCTTTCTCGACATATCCTCCACCAGCATTGATACATTTGTCCCATAGCTTTAAGCGGCCTCCGTAGTCTAGAGGTAACGTTCCCACCTCATGACTCGTAGTACGCGGGTTCAAATACCCGGCGGAGGTCGTCGAATTTTTAAGGGCGGAAAAATTCAGGGAACAAGTCCTCGGGGAGGGACTTTAAGCCGTGGGTCCCGTGTCGTAGCTTTACGGCACGTAAAAGAACCTCATATCTCCAAAGGAGGTCACTGAGCCAAATTACGGACGTTTGCCGCCAAACAGCAGTCTCTAATACCTCTGGTAGATGGGGGAAGCATTATTATAGACACCTCTCAGCTAGCAGAGCCGGTCTCGCTGGCTGGGCGGGACTGATGGTAAGCACCAGTACCGGTAGTCTATAAAGACTGGTAGAAATCATAGAGGGAAGCACAATGGACCAATACAGGTCTAAGTGCATGGGGAAACCCACCCTCTCCAATAACTAACTAACTAACCCATAGCTTTACAACTGCGTCGAAACTCGTAGCAGAAGTCTTTTGAGTGCTGTCTCGGCCACTTCCGTACCTCCGTTTCAACCCATTCCTCATCAGTGAAACGTTTGCTACTTAAGCTGAACCGTTTTACGCGACAAACACTTGTCATCATAAACAGACAATATTTATTCATGCATATCCTTTGCATTGAGTCCTTTTTTCCACAAAAAAACACAAAACAGAACGTTGCTCTTCAACAATAAACTCCTCAAACACAGTCGCCATTTTGACTACTGAAACCAGCCTCTGAACATGCGCATGCGTGTCCGCTACGTAGACAGCCATGAAGCTGGACTGTGTTGTTACCTAGTGGTACACATAGAAAATCTATTACGTCCGTTACAGCTGTGTTCTTTTAATTCGCTTAGTGCGGGGGTGGAGTCCAACTGGGTCCACTCGGCACAGCGGCCACTGATTGACCTATTGTAGCCTGCCCCGGGTGATTATGATGATGGAGAATTTGGTGGAATGAAGATTGGCAGAGGAAACCGAAGTACTCGGAGAAAACCTGCCCCAGCGCCACTTTGTCCACCACAAATCCCACTTGAGAAGCCCCCGGGATCGAACCCGGGCCGCCGCGGTGGGAAGCCAGCGACTAACCGCTTGAGCTATGGCGCGGCCTACAGCTGTTTTACTTCCATCTGTGACGTATTTACTGACTCCCTCCTACTTCAAAATCCTTCGCAGTGTAGATATTACAAGCAGCATGAGGGTAACCCACAAAGAACAGTACTCCAGTCGAGCTGTGATACAGCTGGAGTGTAATTGGAGGCTTCCTCTAGCTGAATCACTGTAATGATATGGCTGCTGCTGTGCGCAGTGGGTACTGTGCTAATTAATGGCAGTCCATTCCGCGTCTCGCAGTATACGAGATATTCAGGAACAAGCTGCGAGATCCGAGGCTTAGTGCTGCCTTTTGGCGTTGCCACAGTTTCGGAAGGAGCTACAGACAATAGTGAAGTAAGGGATAGAAACGGAGGGCGGGGTCAAATTTTTGTGGGGGAGAGAGGTGAGAATTTGGGAGAGGATTGGTTGTCAAGCAGTATGTGTCACTATAGACAGGTTTCGGATTGGATAGTGGATTTATTGACCACTCACAGTTCGTAACTACAAATAACTATAACACTATCACTATTTCCACACTTTACAGTTCACTAGAGCACACAAAGTAGTGTTCTCAGACTGTTAGTAGACGTTTCCTGGTAATGGCTCAAACAATGGATATTCCTGTCACTACGGCACAAGTTCTCTCTTCACAGACTCCCATACAAAATCCTCTTTCGTCTGACTAAGCTCAAAGTCAAAGTCACATTGGGACAGACGGTCAGTCAGTCAGTCAGTCAGTCTTGGTGTCTAGTCCAATCTGGAACTTATGAACAGATATTTATTACCATTTGACAGTTTAGGTTTTGTCTTTATAGGACACCCTCTCTGACGAGAGGACGGGTCTGTCTTTTGTCAGAGTCATTGTCAGCAGTAGTAAGTCACGAGTCATAATGTAAAGGTTATTTACATGTTGCATGTTAAACATGTTAATAAATGTATATATAATATATACAGGGCCTCTGTCAGTCCAGGCTGAGTACAGCTTCCGCTACAACTCCAGTCTAGTCACTTGAATACCAAACTTCATCTCGCTTATAACCTCTCGGCACGGACCACGTAGAAAACACAGCTCTTCCATTGTTATAGTTGAACTGTTGCTTTATTAAAAATCTTCTGTTGCCTAGCAGCGGGAACGTGTTTACAGAGCCGTTATCCAGAAACTGGCCCTGGTATTTATGTCCTCATCTCACGGTCATTGCGTAGCAAAGGCTCCTACACCCTACAATATGTTAACCTTCTTTAAGACAAGAAATATAAAACAAGAAATGTTAGAAAACGAAACGTGGTGCCTTACCTGAGGAGGAGTAAACTCTGCTTAAAACTGCGCGGAACAATGAAAGCTGCGGCGAAGAAGAGATTAGCCGTTTGGAAGAGATTATGCTGAGCTGCTTCCCACTCCACACAGGAAGCATCGCCCTCTTCGGGAATCAAATCAGTGGCCACTGACACATTTGTATCATTTGCGAGGTTTATCTGCGTCGTCACCAGCAAACTTAACGTTGGCGTCGCTGAAGAATTCCAGAACTCCTCGGTCCACACCGTGAACTCGGTGAAGTTGTCGGTTACTGGCGTCGGTGTAGGTGAGGGAGGCAATGTTGTTGTAATAGACTGCTTACTGGATGTCGAACCCATGTCCTGAGGGGTCACGGCGACACCGCCGACCCCCTTTTCCTGGTCCACCCCCCCGTCAGAGTCTGCCGGCAGGAAGACACTCGTACTAAAGTTTCTGGATCTTGTGGAGACGTCACTACTGCCTACTTCCGTCGGTGTGGTCGTGTTTGGAACCTTCTCCATCACAGACTATGCGAAGAGCCTGCAAGAAACAGAAATCAGATTTGTGTTACGTCACCTCCGTCAAATTCATGTGCTCTGTGTCACAGTTTGAGGTCCGCGCACTGGACAGTTCTGCTGGCCAATCATTCTTTGCTGTCTGTGTGTAAGTGCTTAAAGTGGGAGTCGGGATAACTGAGCGACGGACTGGACGGCCGGAGTTCGATTCCCGGCGGAAGCAATAGATTTTTCTCTTCTACACAGCGTCCACACCGGCTCAGGGTCCCATCCAGCCTCCTACTCGGTGAAACGGTGGGTTCTTTCCCCCGAGGTGAAGTGGCAGGGGTGTGAAATTAACTACTCACTTCCATCTAGTGCCTAGGTCAAGAATGACGGAGCTATACCTGCACTTCCCCATGTGTTTCCATGTAATTGAGGTTCACACAAGATCCACACGGAACCACATCCCAACAGACGGCATTCTTTAACGACGTAACAACTTAAGAAGTTTTGTAGCAGCATATGGCATAGTGGGCAAAGGTAAANGAGACACGGTCCTCCGAAACGTCGGTTAACACCACATATACACGGTGCCAAATCCCAGAAGACTGCTTTCTTCAAAGGTTAAGTTGTCCATGTGCCTAATTAATCAAACATCACGCCATGAAGGCGTATGGGGGAGTGGAGATACAACTTCAACATTACTGATGTTGGTAAGTGATTAGTTTCACGCCCCTGCCGCTTTACCCCTGGGGAAAGAGCCATCGGTACCCATTGGATAGCAGGTTGGGTGGGCCCTCAAAGCCGGTCTGGACGCTGTGGACAAGAGAAGAATTCCATAACCCCGCCAGAAATCGAACTCTGACCGTCCAGCCCATAGCCCATCACTATGCCGACTGAGCTATCCTAGTTATTATAGTGGGTCTAATAAGAAAGACACCGGAAGTGGAATATTGTTCAACATTCCACTAGATTGGCTGATTGCAAAGGAACTCTAGAACCTGGTATGAGGTCCGGCTGATATGTGAAGGGACATGTTACATTTTACTCACCCCTCGCTAGGGTTTTAGCCTGAAGTCGGTTAATACAGTCATTAAATTTACGGGTTCTGGGCTTCATGATTAGGGTTCNTGCTCCAGTTTCTTCTAAGTAAAAAAATGTAACGTCCCTGTGAAAGGCCGTGGAAGCCCATAGGGTTGTGAGACGTCGAGGCTCCCACATTTTTTCTGGACAGTCGGCTCACAGATGGCGGTAAGATTGTCAGCCTTACGTGCCGGCCGTCGTTTACCCCCAGGAAGATTCCTGCTACTCATTTTTGTTAGAGGCTGAGTCGAACCCAGGGTCGTAATGGAGCTGGAAGGATTACGTAGATTGAAAAAATCCGATGATGTCATCGGGACTCGAACCTGCGACATTCCGGCTTGTAGCATAGTGCCTCAACCAACTACGCTACCACGTGCCCCTCATCGGAAGTAAAGCGACCGGAAATGAAGAAAGTCTGGTATCTAGGATACATGCACTTCTTCCTGTGTTCATGGCTTCATGATTAAGAGCATGGATTTTACGTAAACAGAAATTCATTACGTCAAGCAAAGGGTCGCCTTTTGTCTCCTGGGGTAAAGACGACAACATCTGGTATCTCGACACACCTCCGTCGTTCAGAATAAACGGGAGAAATTTTCCTTTGACCTTGTCCATGTTATACTGTGTCATTAGAACCAAAGGTCACAAAAATATGCATATGTAAGCCACGCCCTTTTCTCTCTGCCCCTCAGCATTTCGCACGCAACGTCCACTAGCGGCGTCCGGTCTTTACATTTTAAAAGCAGTAAAGAATGAGCCGTCAGAATTTGACAAACTGCCCCACCGCACGCTTCAGTTTTTTGAATTCATCTTTTTTTGTTATAAAATGTGGCACCTGGTACTTTAGTGCAGAGGTCAACGTTTTCTCTACTGTAATCGGTGTTAAAAACTGTCGCTTTAACATCATAGCGATTATCATAGGTACCACCGGCTGTAACATCAGAAACCACTGCGTCATATGTCACATTAAAAGGGGAGGGGGGGAAAGGTAAAACTATCCCTGTAACAGACCGTGAAGCTCATAGGGTTGTGAGACGTCGAGGCTTCCACATTTTTCTAGGCAATTGGCTCACAAACGGCAGTGAAGTTTTCAGCCTTACGCGCCGGCCACCCGCTCCACGTACTCATTTCTGTTAGTGGCTGAGTCGACCCCAGGGCCATAGTGCGGCTGGAAGGTTTAGATCAATTGAAAAAATCCATTGACCTCATGGGGAATCGAACTCGCGACCTTCCGGCTTGAAACATAGTGCCTCAACCAACTGCGTGCCCCATGTGTCACATTATCCTCTGCTAAATAAAAACATGAAGATTAATATATACAGGACTGCATATTTGCGTGTACTTTTATATCGTTCTCCACATTAAGGGCGGAACATATATTTGAGACTTTTCCAGAACAGGGTGATCAGGAGAATATTTAGTCATAAGAGGGATGAAGACAAATAGAAATAAAGTAATCATAAGGAAATTTTTTCAAATTAATAATCGCTTTTTAAATAATTATTTCATAATTACTTTATTCTTGGATGTGACTTCGTACGACGTTTCGGAGGAACTCACTCTATCAGTCTTCATTCTAGAACAGTGAAGAATAAAGAGCAATCTCTTTCCCTATGCTTAACTAATTAATCACTACGCCATGAAGGCTTGAGGGGGAGTGGATGTATAGATCCGCCTTTCTTGAGGTCGGTATTAGTTGAAGGTGAGTGGTCAGCTTCACGCCCCAGCCTCTATACCCCTGGTTCCCATTAGATAGGAATCCGGGTGGGCCCCAGAACCGGTCTGGACGAGGTGGAGAGAAGAAAAAATTCTGCACCTAACGGAATTCAAACTACGACACCTTGAATGGATATCTGTTAGCCTACACGGCGTCATATCCTGGAAGACTCTAATTATTATAGTCACTGCTTAAAAATCTCAAAGATCGTAATGATTTTATATATTGGGGGGTCCATGCTGAATCAAAAACGTGTTTCTGTGCCCCGTATAGGTGCCCCTACGTGGCGTAAGTAGGTCAATCCTGGGCATGAAATTGTGATTCAGTAATTGTACATTTATTAGGCTAGCTTATTGCTGGAGACTTAGCTATTTTATGTGTGTAGACGCCTGGAAGCAAGGCGCCGGACTCTGTGGGTGTGTAATATATTGTAGTCAAGGGATTTGGCCCGAGTACTAACCCGGAGAATGGTAATAAATCCTTCTCAATGAACCGTGTCTGTTATTTCAGTCCCAGTTCTGAGAGAAATGGCTCCCGTGTGGCAAAATGAGATTCCCTTCTGACTTCATCACAGCAGTGATTCAGAAATATGACTTCTGTCTACAGATGGCAGTAATGTGGTTTTCTTCCTTTACACCAAGGAGAATATCACAGAATTCTCCAAAAGGATCATGGCTATATTTTCGTAATTATTTGCCCACGAAATACAGGGTTATTCATAAGTCTCTGAAACATTTTAAAAATTCACAACAAATAAACTGTACTTGTACATCGGATCATGGTAATTCTTACGCCGATAGAGAATGAATCTCTCCAAGTCTTTTTGAAAGCCTCCACTGCCTGCTAATCTCAGGGAAGTTCGCAACCTGCCTCTGGTCAACCGTGACATGCTGACATGGGTGTGGGACGAAATGGATTATCGCATAGATGTCTGCCGTATCAGCAAAGGTGGACACATTGAGCATATGTGAACTATGTAGAAAAAACTTGGTGAGTTTATCTCTGTTTCAGTGTAATAAAATTTGGTATCCGTTGCGTGGTTTATTTATTATAAATTTTCAAAATGTTTCACGGACTTATGAATAATTCTCTATAAATTCAATTATTGTTTAACCCTTCTATAGAAGTAGATTCTAAAGTGTTCTGACGTTGGTATATAAGACTAATTAATGGATTTTTGGACTTTGCCCATCGCCCGGTATTAACTCTTTGTAAGGAACCCAAAGATTTATTTTCCGAAAAGTTGTGGTGTTCTCTAGTTTTTAGAATACCGGACGATGGGGAAAGTCTAAAACCCGAGTAATTCCTTCTATAGAAATTCGTTGAAATCAGTGATACCTGTGCACATGTTATACAAAATGCAGTTTCGCATTCATATGTCAACACCTGGCAACGGTGTCTCAGTGCCCGAAGACTGCAGAGAACTGGATAATGACAATTTGTGGTACTCGCCAAATATTGGGAAGATCAAATAAAATAGGACGAGATGGGCGAACCGCGTATTGTTTACAGGATAGTAGAAAACCATTCAAAAGGGTGACAAGAAAACATGAATGAAAGAACCCACTTGGAAGACCTAGGCATAAATGGGAAGGAAACATGGAAATGGATCATAATGAAATAGGATATATAAGTGTGAACTAGAGACAAGTAGCGGGCTCTTGTGAACACAGCAATGCACCATCGGGTTACATAAAATCTTGGGAATATCTTGAGAAGTTGAACAATCTTTTTTTAAATTCGCTTAGTGATGGGTGGAGTTCAACTGCGTCCACTCGGCACGGCAGCCACCGATTGGCCTATTGTAGCCTGCCCTGTGTGATTATGGTGATGGAGAATTTGGTGGAATGAAGATTGGCAGGGGAAACGGAAGTACTCGGAGAAAACCCGCCCCAGCGCCACTGTGTCCACCACAAATCCCACTTGACCAGACCCGGGATCGAACCCGAGCCGCCGCGGTGGGAAGGTGGCGACTAGCGACGCAGCCTGAGAAACTGTTATTTTCCAAGAAATGAATATTTTCCATTTCGTTAACTTCGATTGTTGCCGTGTCATAGCTCAGGCGGTTAGTCACCGGCTTCCCACCACGGAGGTCCGGGTTCGAGTCTAGGTCAGGCCGTGTGGGACTTGTGGTAGTCAAAGTGGCGCTGGGGCAGGTTTTCTCAGAGTACTTCGATTTCCCCTGCCAATTCTCATTCCACCGACTGCTCTGCGCTCATCATCTGGTGCTGGTACGATAAGCC